GCGCCGAGCTCGCCCCTCCTCCGCGCCAACTCCGCCGCCCGCTCCCCAGGCCGCCTGCGCTCCCCGCGCGCCTCCTAGGGCTCCACGCGTCTTGCCCCGAAGAGGCAGCCTCTTTCGGGCGCGGGGCCCAGCACACCATGGCCCCCGGGCGGACCGGGGCCGGCGCCGCCGTGCGCGCCCGCCTGGCGCTGGCCTTGGCGCTGGCGAGCGTCCTGAGCTGGCCCCCTGCCGTCGCCTGCCCCACCAAGTGTACCTGCTCCGCCGCCAGCGTGGACTGCCACGGGCTGGGCCTCCGAGCTGTTCCTCGGGGCATTCCCCGCAACGCCGAGCGCCTGTGAGTACCCCCGCCCCGCCCCGCCCCGCGAGGGCCACCCACCTGGGTCCCAGAGAGGGGCCCCCAGGCGCCAGATTTTTTCCTTTCCCCTTGGCTACACTGGATGCACTCTGTTCTCACCCCTTCCCTGATCCGATCCCTCTCTCTTGCAGTTCGGGGGTCTTTGGCTTTTGGCAGATCTGGAGAGACGTCTCAAAGCTCTCTCTGATGGGCAGAGAGCAGTTTCTCTCCAGGGGTCAGGGCTCCAGACGCAGGGCCCGCTGACAGCTTCCGAGGCAGGAGGCAAGGGGAGGAGAGAACACTGCAGCCTCGAGGTCTTGGGGTGAGGGCAAGGGGTTCACGCTCATTAAAGAGGGTGACGAAGGAGGAAGCTCTAGATGAGGGGATGTCAGGGCATAGAGGCAAGAGAGAGGGCCTGAGAGGGCTTGGAGATCAGGATGGGCCCCTCGCTCTCTGGCTGCCCTTGCAAGGAAAGTTGAGAGTGTAGGTGAAGGTTTAACTTCTGAGGATACGGACAGATTCAGAGTGGGTGCTCACAAAACCCGCCCTGCCTGGAGCACAGCCTGGGAGATGCCAAATTGCAACGGGGTGAATTTTTTATGGCTCGGTTATAAATGCCTCCCCAAACGGACCGGAGAATGGAAATGCTGACAGCCCTTCAAATGAGCCCTAGCGCTGTAATCTTACAAACCGCACTCAGCCTCGGTTCCTGGGTTTGGCAGTGAGTGGAGAGGAGCTTGGAGAGTGGGGTGGATTGACCCTCGTTTTAACCCCAATTGTGCAACCAAATATTTACTTTTCATATGTCAACGTTTTGGAATCATTTATCATTTTGATCCTCGGACCAAATTCAAAACTTGGACTCCGGGTGGGCTCCTTTTAATCCGAAGTCAGGGGTGTGGGGAAGGAGGGAGAACTGATGGAGAGGGTGGGGGTGGTCTTGGGAACCCAGCGGGTGCCCCTTTGCTGTAGTGCGATAGACTCCCCGAGTCTTGGTCTCCCTCTCCTCTCCTTCCCCACATGAATGCATCTTCCTTTCTGCCTTCTTGACTTGGTGCTGGAAGAGAGTAGTGATTTGTCCTAGTATGTTATTCCTGTTAGTCACCTCCTATCACCCCACCTCCTCTTCTCTTCCTCTTACTCTGTGCATCTCTGGGCAGAGACTCAACAAAACTGCCTTCCTTATTCCTGGTGCTTTGGCTCAAAACATTTTTTTTTTCCCAAGTGCAACATTTGTTCTGTTGGATGAAACCACACAGTCCTAAAGGGTTAGAGCTGAATCTTCATTAAATCCTCATTGAAAAGCCAGCTTGCAAATGTAAAATGACTTGCCCAAGGAAACTAAGCAAGTTGATGCTTAAAAAAGGGCCAGAATCCAGGTTTTCACACCTTAATTTGGACATGGTATTCATCTGTTTTGGGAAAAAAATGTTATAACGGCATGTTTAAATATTTATAACTTACAAACTAAGTCGCCCTCCTCCTAACAGTGGTGCTAGCCACCGGAGTTAGTGAAATAATAACTGTGGCTACTGTTTAATGAATACTCTCCCTGCCTTGATTTCTGTGTCTCTTTTATCTCACTGAATCTCTACAACAATCTCGTGAGTTACATAGAAAATGCTTATCACTCCATTTTACTGTTAAGCCATCTTGTCATTTGCTCAAAGTCCTGTAGCAAGTGAAGTATTTGAAGCCTGACTAGCTTCTGAGCCCGGACCCCACTACCACTCTGCTACACATCCTTAGAACAAGGGTCTGTTTGGGCCAAGATCTATAAACATTCCTGGGAGGGTTTGGGCTGGGCTTGGGTCTTAGAATAGGCCATTGTTGCTACTGCTTTGGGTAGACCCTGAAAGCTTTAGTTCACTTGGACCTCCTGTTCCAGGTCTTGAGACATCTTCTTCCTTGTCTTCAAAATCATATAGCAGGTTTGGGAAAGCGAAGAGAGTGAGAGTGAACACCTCTCCTCTTGGTATGTAGGAAGTTTTCCAAATCACCAACAACGCCAAGATGCCACTGGGTGGGTGGGTGGGGAGATCCAGGCAGCTCAGGGCAGCCCATCTGCTCTACAACTGAAAAATGGGGTGGAAGCCTGAACATCCCCATGAGCCTCCTGCTACAGTCGTGGTTCTGACAGGCAATGGCAGAGAGAGTAGGAGCTGCTTTGAAGTCACTGGTCTGGGTGCTAGTCAGTGGTGCTAGGATGCATGGTGGTGAGGGGGCTACCCAGGCTGGTCTCTCATTCTAGTCTCCCTCCTCCCTGGGAGAGGGGGAAACAGCCGTTAGGAGCAAGCTGGGTCAAGGTCACCTCTGAGTGTCAGGGAGGACCACCAACAATCCTTTACCAGCCCACAACTTCTGTCCGTCCACTTCCTTGTAATGCTTCAATTCTGCAAACTCCTGGGGGGATATTTGGCATTTCTATGCTGTCTAAGGATTTCTTCCGGCAACAATTTTTCATTCATTCCTCCCATTATTCATTCAACAAACATTCCTTGAGTCTCTACTACATTCCAGTGTCTGCGCACATGTATGAAATCATTGCATATGCAGAAGAAAACCAGCGCTTCAACTTAAAGAATACAAGCAGAGGACAGAAGAAACAAACTTCGTCTGATGAGCGTTTTAAACTTTCCAGGGACCATTTTATCATGGGGCACAAAATGCCCAGGACCTTTCTAAAAATCCGTTTTTCTGATCTCAGATGTTTAACTTGTGTTTTAAAACAAAGGAGAAGCCTTTTTTCCATTCTCCATTTCTGGTACTCTGCCTCCCAAAGAGCCTTTTATGCAGGAATTTGTGTGTGTGTGTGTTTGTTGTTTCTCTGGATGCTTTTGACTTAGGAAACCTTGCAGCATGACATTAAGGAAAACCTGAGTGGGGATCATGTGCTCACCGTTTGGACTTTGCTTCAGGCCTGGAATGGGGCCTGAATTGTTTGCAATTAAGCCAGTATCGGAGTCGGGGGTTTGTGTTCCAAGATCTTCCCTGTAATGTCAACATATCACACAGAAAAAGAAACTCTATGTCTTTTATAAACTACTGACAATTTTTCCCCCTCAGTGAGGAGGTGACACCCACAAGAAAGCTAAATAAACACAGAGGAGAACTTGGTGTAATTTATTATCCGTGCAGCAAAGATAGAGGACGAGAGGAGAGGAAGTGAATGGTGGTGCCCGAACCCAAACATTTACCATGGAGCAGAGAGTAAACAGATGTTGCATTCACCCTTCTGAGTACAAAAGGAGCCCACAGATGTAATTCTTCTCTAACCACAATCTCGGCCTGGAAAAAGAAGACAGATGAAAATGAACTCTCATGTGGGGCCTCTTCTCCTGGGCCTGCTGTCCAGCCAGGAGGCAGGCAGGGGCCCACTTCTCACTGCAGTGAGCCGGTGGCCCAGATGGTAGAGTGGGGGCAAGAGTGGACATCTTTGGTTTTCACTTGGCTCCAGAACACGCAGGAGACTGCTGTATTTAAATAAACATTTCCTGTTTGCGAAGGAATACGGGCGAAAGGCTGAAATGTGAGAATGTGGTAACTTAATTTTCTCCATCACTCCAGATGACGGTGAGCTTTGCTGGTGGTTGGGTCCAATAAAAACCGACACCATGTCACAGGCTTTCCCTCACTTGACCACAGAGGTCCTGAGGTCAAGTGGGAGACTTTCCAAGATACTCAACAGCCAGGCCCTGCATCCTGGTACTCCCAGCCCTCGGGCCAGCTCAGAGGAAGGGGCAAGCTGATGAATCGTGGGGCGTCTCTGGGTCATCCATGGTGATGTGGCCTTTTGGGAAAGCACAGCATTCTCCTGGAGAGTCTGGTAGCAGCTGAGCGCACCCCGCTGCAAGGTGCTGTGCAACTTTGAACAGAAGGCTTTACCACTCTGGGCCTCATTTCCTTGAAAGCCGAACTCTATTATTAGTATTAGTGGTTTAGTGGTTTTCCATATTTAGTCTATTGTCTGCTGATGAACTGTCAGGATCCAGTTCCTGGAACAGTGTCGGGCACATTGGAGGGTTTCAACAAATGTGTGTTGAAGGAGGGAATAATGAGTCTTAAAAATACAACTCTTTCTTCTTATAGGTTTTATTTAGATGGGCAATTAAAGATTTGCATTTTGATCTGTGGCCAAGAGCTGTTTACTAGTAACCCAATACATGAGTTATTATGAACCTAAATCTTCTAGGTATTTAGTATCTAACATTTGGATTTCATGAAGTAAAATTATTGCCTTACTAGAGTTACCAAGGACTCCTATTGAGTGATCCACTCTGGAGTCTGGTTGCCAGGCATTGCTTAGCAACGTTGCAAAACTCCTACTGTGCACATGCCGGTGAAAAGAGCTAGAAATCCTGAACACTTAAAACCGTAGGACTTTCTAATCAGGAACTCATCAGCAGCATCCTGAGCTCTCTGTGGTTTTTGATTGTTGCTCGTCTTGAATTAATTGATATGTATTTGGAGGTTCATTACTAAGTTCTGCTCTCGCCTATCACCTGGGTCTTCTTTCTGCATTTTTTTGCCATCTTGCTTGTTATTTTGTTTCTCTCCAGTACTGTTTGTTGTCACTGAGTTCTTTCTCCCCTGGAAAGTGAGAATGAATAGTGGTTTGAAGCCATGGGAATCTCAACTATGCTGTGGCAAGAAGGTTTCAGAGATTTAAGCCTTGCGGTTAGGGCATGGGCTCCAGAGATCCAGAGACAGACAGCTCTGGGCAGGAGTTCCAGGTCTGTGGCATCCTTGCTGCTGCACCCAAGGCATGTTACACCATCGCTCTGGACTCTAGTCTGTTTAATCCACTGTACCTCATTTCCACACCTGTAATACAGGGATGATCCTCACCTCTCCTCCTAGGAATGCTGTGAGAGTAGCCTGAGGCAGTGGCTCAGCACGCTGCCCACCATGGCAGCCGTGGCTCATTGTTACTGCT